TGAATCCACTTTACATCAGGTTTCTGCCTCCTGCAGAATTCTGGAGTTCGTAGTCTGGGGAGGAGCCTTCTACAGACTCACTAAAGTTCAAACTCCAGAATTCTCCCACCATAATTTGCAAATAAATTTGATAAAAATCAGACAATGTGATTTTCTGGATCTGTTTTCTCATGTTGTCTCTCATAGTTGAGATACCTATGATGTCAATTACAGGCCTCTCTCATCTTTTTAAGTGAGAACTTGTACAATTGGTATCTGACTAAATATGCCCCCCCCCCCCGCCTCTGTATATAGCAGATAATAGGACAGTAACTCTATCATGATGCTGTGTGCCAGATATGGGGGCAGCTTCATTTCCTTTAAGTGTCAACACTATTGGTTCCCTATCAAATGTTGCCATTCTCATGCCTACTTCTTTTGTAAAGTAAAAGAGAACAGCAAGGATTAGTATATGCAGAAGGCAGAAGCCACACTTCTTTCATTGTTCATGCCTTTCTATCCAGGCTCCTCTTTCTCCGAAGAAGTATTGAAGATATTTCAGGGATGGAAACCAGTAAATCAGTTTTAAGTGGCCTACAGTTTCAAGGACTATTCTTGCTGATGCACTTTCCAATTGAAAACATTTGGCTTTTCTATTGAAACCAGTCTTTAATGCAGGTGGCATCTGGACTGCCAAATGGCTAGCATGCAAACCTAAGGAGAAAATCAGCAATTGGTCTGTTCCAAGAAGAAAAAGTTTGAGAGGACTTGGTTTCTGAGACCCCTGCCACACAGCTAAATAAAATCCCACATTATACTGTACTTTAATAGTAATAGTAATAATAATAATAATAATAATAAACTTTAGTTGTACCCCGCTCCATCTCCCCAATGGGGAACTTTGAACTGGAATATATGGCAGTGTGGACTCAGATAACCCAGTTCAAAGCATACTGTGGGATTTTCTGCCTTGGTATTCTGGGTTATATGACTTTGTGGAAGGGCCCAGAGAAGCAAGGTAACATTTTACTCCCACTGTCTTACAACTTGGAAAAAACCCCTCTATAAAAGCTATTCTGCAAATTTCAGAGCACTTCAGCATTACCATGAAAAAGAAGCAAAAGAAAAGATCATACAACAAACAAGTTGCAATCTGGGTGCCGATTCAAAAGTACCAACAATTCTTTGTTGCAGGAATTCAGAACATTAAAAAAAGTACAGTACAACTTACTTTCTTTTATTACCGATTCAAATATGTATCACCAAAGCTAGCTGCATTTCAAATGACTGCAGAGTATTGTAACTTTATATACGTTTATACAACTTCTTTTTAATTTGGGTTGTCACTCAATAACATTCATATAGCTCACTGCATCTACTTGTATAGCTTTAAAACGATGTAGCAATGTGGAAATGTTATCCAAAGCCAGATGTACACAAGAACTTACCATTATTATTTTTAACAGAAATACTTTATACGAGGGGTATTTTTTAAGTAAGGTCCGTTTTGTTGTAGACACTAGTAGTTCGCGCGCATACCGCAACGAGCGCGTGCGTCGTGTACCGGCATGCCTCGGGAACAACTGTGCTCAGTTTCCGCTCTGTAGCTAACCTGTACGGTTCTGTTCTGTGCTTTAAAAATGTTTAAGACTATCAACTCACCCACCGCATGTGAGGTTCGCTCAGTGATACGGTTTTTGTCAGCAAGGAACCTGCCTGCTGCAGAAATTCATTGACAGGTTTGTGAAGTGTACGGTGATACTGTTATGAGTGAAAGCAAAGTGCGTAAGTGGGTACGACAATTCAAAGATGGCCGTGACAACGTCCATGATGAGGACCGCTCCGGTCGCCCTTCTTTGATTACAGTGAACTCTTGGTTATCGGAGCAGGTGGCAAGTTTTTATGAAGAGGGTATTTTAAAATTGGTTCAGAGGTATGATAAGTGTTTGAACAAACTTGGCAACTATGTCAAAAAATAGAGTGAAGTATGTACTTTCTGAAAATAAATTTACTTTTTTGAAATAAACTTTCGTTGTGTACTTATGTTCCAACGGACCTTACTTAAAAAATATCCCTCGTAAGTGGAGAAATTGGCTTCATATGTAGCATTCCAAAACACATCCCTTGCAATCCAAAAATCAAGAGGTTATTGGTTGTTCCTCTAGAACCGTGGCTTCCAACCTTTAGTCCTCCAAACGTTTTGCACTTCAGCACCCGCAACTCTGAACAGCTGCTAAACTGGCTGGGATTTCTGGGAGTCGTAGTCCAAAACACCGGGAGGACCAAAGGCTGGGAACCACTTTTCGAGAACCTCATCAGAACTGTTGTCCCTTCTACACTGTCAGATAATCCAGGTTATCAAAGCAGAAAATCCACACTATCTGATTTGAACTGGATTGTCTGTCCTTGTTAACTGTGTAACAGCATTGAATGTTTGCCAAATATGTGTTCTGTAATATGTCATGAGTCCGCTTGGAGGGATGTAGTGGAATACATCCGCTTGGAGGGATGTAGTGATTTCGCTGCCATATAATCCAGTTCAAAGCAGATAATGTGGATTTTATACAGCCTGTGTGTGAGAAAGAGCAAGGGTACCTCTAAGTAATAATTGCACCATAGAAATCATTAGTACAGGGAAATTTGCATATATCCTGGGGTTAGGGGCACTCAACCCCTATGAAAGTGAAAAACAGGAAGTAAAAAACCCACTAGTATTTTGTCCATGTGAATACCTCTTCAGAAATGTCTAGTTCCTCCAGCTTGACTCCACATGCTGGAGGAACTAGACTAGTGTCACATTGGAGAACCTAGAGATTCCTAGAGGGAACATTTTAATTAAATGTGCGAATACTCACCTTCGCAAAAAGCAAACCCACAAATGTGTAGGGCTGATTGTACTCACCATTCTAAACTTTTGGGTAAGTTTTATAAACCTCAGAAGCCTTACAACATGTGGTAAAAGTTTGATGTTATTAACCACAGTCCAATCAGCTGCCCTAGGGGTACCCCCAGGTATCAGAAGTACATAAAAATAGCAAATTACCTCAAATTAATTCATTACCCCCAAAAGTGTAAGTAATTGTAATTTTGCAAAATTAGAAAATGCCATTGCTTTTGCATTGTAACCATACATTTTAGTTAACGTTACACTGCAGTTATGGAAGTGTGGCTTCACTTAGTAGTGGAAGAGAAATAGCATATAATAAATCAAGTGGCAGTCCAATTGTTCCTAGGAGCTCTGTTCTGGGTGTTGAAGTGGCAAAATATGTAATGAAAGTGTATGTTTCACATCTTGTAGCATTTGGGTAGTTTGCCCTCCCAACATATGTCAAAGTTAATTTAAACATACTTAAAAGAATTAACAGCAGCAGTTACATTTGAAAACCAATGAAGTGACATTGGTAACTCAGTAACTATGGCCCTTTCAACACAGCTGTATAAAATCCACATTGAACTAGATTATATGGCAGTGTGGACTCAGATAATCCAGTTCAAAGCAGATATTTTGGATTATTCTGGGTTATATGACTGTTGTCAAGAATGATTGACAACTGGAAAATAGAGGGAGAAACCGTGGAGGCTGTGACAGACTTTGTATTTCTAGGTGCAAAGATTACTGCAGATGCAGACTGTGGCCAGGAAATCAGAAGACGCTTACTTCTTGGGAGGAGAGCAATGTCCAGACTCGATAAAATAGTGAAGAGTAGAGACATCAGACTGGCAACAAAGATCCGCCTAGTCAAAGCAATGGTATTCCCTGTAGTAACCTACGGATGTGAGAGCTGGACCTTAGGGAAGGCTGAGCGAAGGAAGATAGATGCTTTTGAGCTGTGGTGTTGGAGGAAATTTCTGAGAGTGCCTTGGACTGCTAGAAGATCCAACCAGTCCATCCTCCAGGAAATAAAGCCCGACTGCTCACTGGAGGGAAGGATACTAGAGACAAAGTTGAAGTACTTTGGCCACATCATGAGGAGACAGGAAAGCCTATAGAAGACAATTATGCTGGGGAAAGTGGAAGGTAAAAAGAAGAGGGGCCGACCAAGGGCAAGATGGATGGATGGCATCCTTGAAGTGACTGGACTGACCTTGAAGGAGCTGGGGGTGGTGACGGCCGACAGGGAGCTCTGGCGTGGGCTGGTCCATGAGGTCACGAAGAGTCGGAGACGACTGAACGAATGAACACAGGTCAACCAATGCAATTTTATTTTATCTCTGTACCAACCAAAAAAGTTACTTCTAGCTCTGTTACACTAATTCACAATAATAATAATAATAATAATAATAATAATAATAATTTTAAAAAAACGTTATTTATACCCCGCCACCATCTCCCCAAGGGACTCGGAGCGGCTTACATGAGGCCAAGCCCAATAACACAACAATAAAACAGAAAAGCAATAAACACAATACAATGCAATACAAATTAAAATAAATCACATATAACAACAACACACAAGGATTTAAAACCTATGGCCAGGCCAAATGTAATAATTTAAAATTTAAAAATAACGCTGGGCATGCGTTAACACTTTTTTCCTTTGAAGAGCAACTGTTTGTGTTAAACTTTTAATAGTAGTTTGTCAGTGCTATGTTATGGGATAGAAGGCAGCTACGGTTGAGATGTGTGTTTGCTGCAGGTCTGCACTAGTCTACTGTGTAGCCTTATTGATTTTGAACTGAACTGAAACACAGAGGCCTACCAAAAACTTTTTTATATTGAACTTGGAAGGACACTTATACTTTGTCCACCTCATTCTAGTTTGGCTTTATTTAATGTGGCTCAGCTGTTGCCAAACTAATCACCCCAAAACTAATTTTCCAGGTCTTGGGAACATCCCTGATTCTTCATAGAGACGCAACTGCTTACGATTTTGTACTCCAAAGTTCGGAAGGTAATGTGTGAGTTCTGTAAATAATAGTCAGTGAGACGGAAAATTCATTCGAATTACTTCTTTTTCAGACAGAAGAGTAACGATTAACAAAACAAACATGAAGAGCTGAAAGTGCAATGGAGATGATACTATAATTCACTTTATCTCTTTATTTACACCACAAGAATAACAGGTTGTCATAATGTGGTACAAAATACTGGACTTCTATTAATAAAGTTGAAATTGAAGTTGGTATTGTCAGAGAAAGACACCATTGGCCAGTAAAAAACAATCAAAATAACAAAAGCAGGAATGAGAGACCTAGAAAAAAACTTTCAACTTCACCAAGTAACGGAAAAAAGTCATAAGAAAATTTAAGTACAAAGAATATGCTACCATCACTTAAAGGATTCATACAGTTAAGAGTGAAACCGTGTCTAAATTACAGAATAAACTGGTAGCTGCTACCAATGGTGACAACATACTGAGCATGTATAGGCATAAAGCAGAATATAAGAGTTACAACTTTTGGTACTACATATTTTAACAAGCTTTTGGGTGAATAAATCCTTCAACCCATATATATAGCGCCTCCAATGTTGAGCACCAGAAGTGTTAAATTCTTTGTTTTTCTTTCATTCAAGAGGATTCTTTTTTTAAAATATCAAATACAAAGTGAAGCTGGGAGGAAACCAAGCTCAACTATCACTATGAAGAAACTTCATTTCCTGCTGATATGAAGTTGTGTTTGAAACCACAGTGTTTGCACAGTACATCACTGCTCAAATGTGAAATCTATTGATACATCATTCCAAGTAATTAAAAAAAAAGTTAACACAGCTGTGCTGAAGAGTTAACTCTTAAAGTTCCTGTCATTTTCATATGAGAATTAATACAAAAAGAAGTTGGCATAAGTCTGTGCCTGCCTTATCTTTTCCCTGACTAAAGGAAAACAAAGAAAATGCTTCCCTCCCTCCCCCTTAAAAAAAAAAAGTCACACAGGCAGTTTATTTGTGTGTTCTGTGTAGTTTCCCCTAAAACATTATTTCCACATAAATACAATAAACTCTATTATTGGTTTCTCACAAGTGCTAGATATTTCTCTCTCTCTTAAAATGACAATTTTAAGTAGTCCTCTTAATTTTTGTTTTTACAAAAAAACAAAAATAAAAATAAAACAGCACAGGTCCTTAATAGGTTCAGTTAGACAAACCTTCCCCCTCCATGCGCATCATTTTTAATTTGCATGACAGAAAAATCATCCCAACCTTTTAAATTCTTGCTATAATGCCGTTAAAGAGGGATTTTTGTTTCTCCAAAGCTGCCAAGTGTGGCGTGCAGAATCTGTATACAATATAAAGACATGCCAACCTACCAGACCATGCAACCTCAACGTGTAGGAAACTTAAAAAAATATATTCATATATATTTCATTTATTTATTTTATTTATATCTATATATATATCAATGCCCTTAAAAGGTGGGCCCAAAAGTTTACAAAAGGAAGAATGGAATGAGTACATGACTAATAAAAAGGAATGTCTTGTGTATTGAAAGTAAAAGGAATCCCAAATGCTCTGGTTGTCGTACTATGTACTACCGCCCAGAGCATCATTTGGGGTAATATAGCTTTAAGATGTTCCTTTGTTTCTGAATTGCTACAAGAGAAGTGTTGCAATAAAGCCGTTCCAATGCCCTGGAAGCTGAGTTAATAAAACAACCTCTACTGTCTTGCTGGTGGAATTCAGGTACCTCATGTTTGTAGTATATAAAAAATGTGGGAATTATAGACATTGCCTATGTCAACTTGTGCTCTTTGTTTATCTACAGAGCTCACAAGCATTCCCATCAGGTCCTTGGTAAGTAAACTTCTGGGAGTGGGGGGTGGGAATCAAAGTGACAGCAGTACCTCCCCAGCTTCCATGACGTCAATCTTGCCCTTCTGCTTCATAGGAACCACAGAGAGGAACCCAGACTCAGTCCTACAGTGAGATAACACAGTTCCCGTTTTTGTTCCTAAAAAATCACGAGCTTTAGACTGTGTAAGACAGACTGATATATAACAAAGATGCTTCTGGATTGAGGAAGATTGGTACTGACAGTGATGTAGCAATTTGTTTCTAAGAAACAAACGAAGAATCTTAAACGCAACAACATTGAAAGCAGGTCCAGAATAGTTCAGGCCATTGTATCAACAACGTAAAGTTGTATATCGCTAAGTTCTTGTAATGACCAAAAAAAAAAGGTAAAAGTAAAAGGAGGTAACATGTAGATTAGTGCTGAAAATAAAACAAATTTTAGACTGAACTGATTGTGGATTGGGTTTTATCACTTTTATCAAAGTGATAAAGAGAAAAATTAACAAAGCATGAAATTAGATGATTCCACAGCGCAAATTAAAAAAAAAACTTTTAAGATCACAGCAGCAAGGTGGTCATTTTATAAAATATACACTTTATCTTTACTGTCAAACTTTACTCTTAGAGTATGGTTCTGGCAGTTCTAGTGCCAATACGTATTCATCAATTTGAATGTTATTTGGGTTAGCAAGAACTCAAATATTGTAGTGTGTCTCAAAATTGCATATCAAGCATTAAATAAAACCTTCAAACTTTCTTTCACTCACTCAGATTAAGTTCTCACAAATCCACTTGCAATGGAATGGGAAAAAAACTTTTCAGAACCAGAAAATAAGTTATACAAAGTGACCCTGTCAGTTATTATAACAAAAAAGACTTAAAAAAAATACAAATACAACTGGTGATTCAGATGAGGGACGTGTGATATCCTACACTGGTTGAAAAACAACACATGAATTCAATCTCCTCCAGCCATCTAATATTCACTACTAAAAGTTTAGTTACTTACTCTGAGGGTGTATTCCCCTCACCAAAAAAGGCAACGGGGAAAGGGAAATGGTGGAGAAGATCCGCACTTTCCCAGCCAACTAGAAGCAATTAATCTTCTTCATCTTATTATCCTCATCATCAATGGCAAAAGAGTCTTGTAGAGGACTTACTCAATCAGAGTGGCTCAGGAAAAGTTCTGTGTTTGTGTTAGTGTTAACTTCACCAACAGTTTGGCAGACCTTCAGCATGGTCATTTAAGTTATTAATGCCTTTAATAATCCTTGCCACACTCTATGCTGAGGATATATGATACATCATTCTTTATAATACTAATATGTTTTTAAGATAAGAAAGCTCCTTATTCTTATTTTTTAATGTAGCATAGCAACTATGAATGAAGAGCTGAGAAAATATACAATCAGTTTCATGATATAAAAAAGACCTTGGAATCCTTCCTCTGAAAGGGCTTTCTGAAAATGAAGCCTGCCGATCTGCAACTGTCTCAACTGACCATGAAAACTGTTCACTGTACGGAAGTCCAAACACAAACAAAGTCCGCATGCAAGGAAAAATGACACAGGTCCAGGAATTGGTTACAGTCTGGAGATACAGCTGTCAAAATGAAAACGAAAAATGAAAATCCATGCAAATAAGGCAGGGCTCTTGTGAAAACCAGTATGAAATAAAGCAATAGCAAATGCCTCTTTGCTAGAAAACTCATTTTGTTAAAACAGAATCAAAGGTTTTAAAAAAACACTCTTAAATTAAAATAGAAATGTTTAGGGTAGTTGCCCAGTGGCTAAAATGTTGGCATCCTGAAAACATTCCAAACTACAGTTTGAAAATAGTAAAGTTTCAAACTAGATCTCTTTTCCAAAAAACCCTCACATTCCAATTAACAAATAAATCTTCTGCAAGGGAACTTCCAATGGCTACCATTGTAATCTGCATTTATTTATATATTTGTATAAATGCATTATAAATATTTTATCAATAATTTGTAAGAGTTGTATTTCTAAGCTCGGAATACATTTGGAATATACATTATACATATATATTTATACCTAAAATATTAAGCAATATCTCATGCTAGTTGCTTTTAATAAAAAGCATTCCAATTCTTTTTTAAAACTGCAGTTGTGCCTTATGCATGCTTTACAACCAAATTCAGAGTTTTAATGGTTATACGTAATGTATAGGAAAAGATGTTGGATTTTTTTTCCCAAAAAGAGTTGAATTTTACAAACCCAACAGTATTTGCCACATTACTGGCAACTACCTTAATGTTTTATTTTAAACAGCAATAAAAGGAGGGGGTGGGATCCAAACTTGTAGACTCTTTTGGAGATGCTCTGGTCATTGCTTGCTTTAAATAATCATGCTAGCAGGAATCCTAAAACCTTTCTTGTCGACTGCAGTTCTTGGCCTACCATGCCAGAGAAACTGCTGCAGAGTTCTTTTTTCTTTAAGGCATTGTTCCTCAAAACATCAGAAAAATCCAGCTGCCCAAAAAAAATTCAATCCAATCTATGTTTATAAAAGGCACAAACTCTTCAGATGGCTTTGGAGATGCTAAAGCCGATCCCCTTTCTGGGCTATTTTCCTTGTTTTACGTTCTTCCCCTCCACACATATATTGTCTGCATGTGTACAGATAAGAATAAAAAGCTTGGTTCTCTTTTTACCCTTCATATGAAAAAAAAACAACAACAACACACCTTTCTCGCATTGTTTGGGTTTTGAAGAGAGTGTTTGTATCACAGGTAGGCAACCGCCACGAAAAGAAAATATAAACAAAGCTACAATGTGGTTGAGTGGTCTGACCGGAGGGTAATCAAACTTTAAGCACCAGTTTTAAATGAAAATTGTCAGGTCTGTGTTAAATCTTTGATTTTGGGTTTGTTTGTTTGTTTCCCCCAAAAGAGATTGGCAACTCCGCCAAAGACTTCACTGGCTTCTTGCCTCTCGCAGGTTTCCTTCAGGAAAAGAGGAAGAATGCTCAGTGCTTATGTCTTTCATATTTCTGCTCTTCACCTGCATGTTTCTTGCCCGCAAACATATTCTGTACAAGTACGGAGAGATTTAGCTTTCTTTCACGCATGGCTGCCTTTCTGCATTTCTGGAAGAAAACCATGACAGGATGCAGGAGTAACAAGAGAAAGCTTCTTGGCAGAGCTTCAAGACGAGACGGACGAACAAGAGAACTCCAGTCTGACAGATGAATGCTACAGGGGAGGGTCCTCTTCCATGGGCTCCTCGTCTGGCCTGGGAACACATTCAAGAGAAGTCAAGACAAGGAGGCAAGGAGGACAGGTCACAAAGAAGGAATGGACATCACTCGGCTAATACTGCACCGCTTTCAGATTCCACCTCTCAGATTCTCAAGCTGAAACCTATTTTATGTTTTAATCTTTCAAAAGGAGCAAAGTCCAACATCAGAAGCAAATTCAAATATAGTAACTTTGATAGTAACCCTCTTATCCTCAAGTTCAAGTTTAAACATGCTCACGTCTTGTGTGAACTGTATTTTATTCTTTGTTCTCTGTGTTTTCATATATGAATTTCATAGAATTACATTTTAATATGTGGATATCATATCATGTTTTATGATTATATGTTTTCAGCTATGTTGTGTCCCAATTTGAGCCATGAAGAGAGGTAAGAATTATTACTACTACTACTACTACTACTACTAGCCGTCCCTGCCACGCATTGCTGTGGCCCAGTCTGGTGAACTGCAAAATAAAGTAATGAGAAAGTGTTGGTTTCTAATATATGTAATTTCTTTATGCTTGTGGGTAAACAGTATTTCTTGTTGTTTCTTTGTCAGTGTTGATGTAGAGATTGTCTGGTTTGCCTACTCTGGAACATGCAACATATCATTGTCCTTCTTTAGGGGTCCCTTTCAAATCTATGATGGTATATCTATGTGTGTGTGAATCATATATATCGATCTATATGCATGGCTGGATGGCTCTTGTTCAAGAGGGCTTTGATTACGTTTTCTTGCCCTGGTGAAGGGAGTTGGACTGGATGGCCTTAAGTATTTTCTGTTGGTCATGGGGGTTCTGTGTGGGAAGTTTGCCCCAATCTGTCATTGGTGGGGTTCAGAATGCTCTTTGATTGTAGGTGAACTATAAATCCCAGTAACTACAACTCCCAAATGTCAAGGTCTATTTCCCCCAAACTCCATCTGTGTTCATATTTGGGCATATGGTATATTCGTGCCAAGTTTGGTCCAGATCCATCATTGTTTGAGTCCACAGTGCTCTCTGGATGTAGGTGCACTATAACTCCCAAACTTAAGGTCAGTGCCCAGCAAACACTTCTAGTGTTTTCTGTTGGTCATGGGAGTTCTGTGTGCCAAGTTTGGTTCAATTCCATCATTGGTGGAGTTCAGAATGTGAACTATAAATCCCAGCAACTACAACTCCCAAATGACAAAATCATTTTTTGAGTGAAGGACATACATTGGGTTGTTAGGTGTCTTGTGTCCAAATTTGGTGCCAATTGCCCCAGTGGTTTTTGAGTTCTGTGAATACCACAAACGAACATTACATTTTTATTTATATAGATTATTATTATTAGCACTAGCAGCAGTACTACTACTACTACTACTACTACTACGACGACGACGATGCCTGCCGGTTAATCTGTGCTTTGCATGTGAGAGTTCAGTGAAGAAAAAATGTCTAATGATAGAAAACATTATTCGAATAGACAATTTCTATTATTCAATCCATAGCAACACTCAGGCTGTTTATGATGAATACCTTCTTGCAATGAAATACTAAGAGGTTGAGTATCCCTTATCTGGAATTCCTAAATGCAAAATACTCCAAAATCCAATACTGTGGCAGAGATAATGACACTTTTGCATTCTGAAGGCCCAATGTACACAAACACTGTCTTGTGCAAAACAACATTATCACAAATATTGAATTACCTTCAAATTATGAGTATAAAGTGTTTATGAAACCTAAATAAACTTCATTTCCAAGATTTACAAGTATTCCAATATCTGGAACACTTCTGATTCCAACCATTTTGGAACCATTTATTTCATGTATTTATAGGTCACCTTTCAAAATGGGATGAATGGAAACAGAAGGAAATGTCTGGGGCTCACTTTTTGTCAGGTGGTGGCTTGACTCCTACTGACAGTGATGCCATAGCTGTTACAGTTTCTGCTTCTTCATTCTCACATTTCTGTGCCTCAGTCAAAGAATAGCTGACTGTTGATGCGTAACGCTGGAGAGAGTGCCAGTACTTACCTAAAAGAAATATGAAATGTTACGGCTGATATTGCAACACAAGTGTCTCAAGCATTATTTATTAAAGATACTGCTGCCAGTCATACAATCCAAACAACTATTCAATATAGCACCACCACAAGACCATGGATAAAGGAAAGGCTGAACTACAGAATTACAATTACGATTCAGTAGTACTCACTGTGGATTTCAATGACCTTTTCAATGGAATGCACTGCATTGGCATTTGGCCTTTGCTGTAAGACCTTTTCAGGAATAGGATCAAGCTAAAATGACAGATAAATACAAGTTAGCTTAATGGTATTTTTAAACATAATGATACCCCTACAATAGCTATAGCTTTCTACTTTTGGCTTTATGTTTAACAATTGTCATAAATACGTTGTCAGTGCTCACAACCTACGTACAGGGTGTAGTGCATCACAGCTGGTGCCAAAAAGCATAGCAAGTATGCCCTGCAATAAATAGTTGTATGGATTCTAAGTTTTTATGCAAACTGTGCGTTGCCCAATCTCTTGTGATCGTGCCATTACTGCTCAAGCAGGGAGCTTTGAGATGGTTGAACAGAAGCTCTCCGAAGCTCTAGGTGCTCTTACTGCCTATTACAGGGAAAACCAGCTGATCCCTAATCCATGTAAAACACAGACATGTGCTTTTCACCTAAGAACAGACAAGCATCCCGAGCTCTGAGGATACCTGGGAAGGAATCCCACTGGAGCATTGCAGCACACCCAAATACCTGGGAGTCACTCTGGACCATGCTCTGACCTACAAGAAACACTGCCTGAACATCAAGCAAAAAGTGGGCGCTAGAAACAATATCATATGAAAGCTGACTGGCACAACCTGGGGATCACAACCAGATACAGTGAAGACATCTGCCCTTGCGCTATGCTACTCTGCTGCTGAGTACGCATGCCCAGTGTGGAACACATCTCACACTAAAACAGTAGATGTGGCTCTTAATGAGACATGCCGCATTATCATGGGGTGTCTGCGCCCTACACCACTGGAGAAATTACACTGCTTAGTATTGCACCACCTGACATCCGCCGGGAAGTAGCAGCCAATAGTGAAAGGACCAAGGCAGTGACATCTCCAGCTCATCCCGTGTTTGGGTATCAGCCAGCACGTCAACGACTTAAATCAAGAAATAGTTTTCTAAGATCTACAGAGACACTCGCTGGAACACCTCAGCAAGCGAGAGTCCAAAAGTGGCAGGCTCAAACCCAGAACCTCAACCAATGGCTGATACCAAATGAGAGACTCCCCCCTGGGCACACAGAAAACTGGATGACAGACTTTCGCTCTGCCACCACAAGATGTAGAGCCAACCTTAAGAAATGGAGCTACAAAGTGGAATCCACGACATGAGAGTGTGGAGGAGAGCAAACCACAGACCATCTACTGCAATGCAACCTGAGCCATGCCACATGCACAATGGAGGACCTTCTTATAGCAACACCAGTGGCACTCCAAGTGGTCAGCTACTGGTCAAAGGACATTTAATCAACTATCAAGTTTGCAAACTTTGTGTTTTGTTTGTTTGTTAAAAAATGCAATGCAGCTGTTTGGTCTGCCCCTGACATGATAAATAATACCTATCCATTCTCCAAACCCTGCAAGCAAAGGAAGCCTTGCTGCACCCATTAAAAATGTCTTCTTCATTTCTTCAAGGGCAAGGAGAAAACACGATAAGGAATCCAATAGAATACCTAGTAGCCACTGTCTGCATATACTCTTGTCCCTCAACACATTGAAAAGTAACAGATAAATATGCCCACAGGTTCATTTCAGTTAATCTAGAATAAACTTATTGTAAAGAGGGAGACATATATGCAGCAGATTAGGAAAGAGGAGGAAGACCAAAATGACAGACTAACATATACCTGTGATTCTAAGATGCACCCCATTTTTAGATATATTTATTTAGGGGAACAAGTGATTTTTAGAATTGAAGAAATGAATTTACATTCTAAAGGAAATTTTAGTGGATAAGTGCAGAATTGACTTTAATTTTTATCATGATTAAACCTATTTGTACATTTTAGAATGGTTATTGCTTTTGCAGAGAAAACAGACAAAATATTTTTTTGAGCTTTTGTCTTATAGTCTCAGGGTTTATAGTCTAGTTTTTTGTTTGTTTGTTTGTAGATTTGGTGGTAGTTTTTGTAAATAAAAATTGTCATTTTTGAAAAAAAAGAAAATATAGGCAATAGATAAGGGTATTGATAATAGACAAATTCTAGGGTTTTGGTTTTTTTGTTTATTTTTTGAAGGGGCGCATCTATAGCATCAATTGTCAGTGATGAAAATGCAAACCTGTGTTGATTTGTGCCACAGAAAATTTGTAAAAATGAGTAATCCAAACTGGTTTTTGATTTTTCTTTATACCTCATTTCCTAGCAAAACAGAAACACATGTTTCAGAAGCATCGCAAATAGCTGTCAGGTCATGGCCTCCTTCTAAGGCCAGAATTATTCTTCCTCCAGCCAGACCCATGAGCTGTTTTGTCAGGTACCCAAAGCCTGTGAAACAAGGGATGGAAAGAAAGGGCAAATATTAACAGCACAACTTAATTCCTTTCAAAAATTTAGAAACTTAAAATGAAAATGAATGAAACCAAGAGAACAAAACATGTTTACCATGAATTGGTAAACATGTTTGGACTGAAAGCGTTTACAGCTGTAATCAATCAATATGTAAATATCTTCATCAGGCCTATAGCCAGGATTTTGATGGGGGGGGGGGATGAGTTTGATTGGGAGGGGGGGGGCTGAGTCTGAGTGAAAGAGGGTCTACCGTAGCAAATCTTTTGTATTGTTACCCCAATACTCCCCTGCATATGGGATATATTGAGTATAGTGATCAGATCATGATATGAATAAACATAGCAGTTTAAATAATGCGCCAGTAAGGCCTTTTCACAAACCACCATGAGAATTGGGGGGGGGGGGGGGCTGAAGCCCCTCAAGCCCCCCCCCCCCCCCCCCCCCCCCGCTCAATGCGGTTACATTCATCTACTCACATTTGCTATCGGTCATATTGTTATCTTGAATGTCAGCCTCCAAACACACAGCAACACTGACTATGAACTTTCCCATTCATTGTCATTATTGATTTGTGTCTGGGCACAATTCAACAACAACAATAACAAGGCACCTGCATTATTTCTGGGCAAGATCATCCTCAGGATCAATTGCACTAACCTATCACAACTGGGTTTCCTCTGAATGTTTTCAATGGTAATTTCATTATTCCTCACTGCAAACCAACTAGTTGTGATTTTTTTTTATCGTGTCAGGAGTGACTTGAAAAACTGCAAGTCGCTTCTGGTGTGAGAGAATTGGCCGTCTGCAAGGACGTTGCCCAGGGGACGCCTGGATGATTTGTTGTTTTTATCATCCTTGTGGGAGGCTTCTCTCATGTCCCCGCATGAGGAGCTGGAGCTGATAGAGGGAGCTCATCCGCCTCTCCCCGGATTTGAACCTGTGACCTGTCAGTCTTCAGTCCTGCCAGGTTTAATCCACTGCGCCACCGGGGGCTCCACTAGTTGTGATGAGACTGGGTGAAAAAGACTGTAGTACAAAAACCTACAACAATGAATTCCATGTAAAGTTGCCATCAAAGGTATTTCAGGTTTTGAATAACCGCACCACTTACTCCTTTATAGTTTGCGGAGATGAAAAGCATCTACAACCAGTATTGAACCAAGAAGTACTCTCTTCCAATTAAGTTTCTCAGTTCCTTTCAAAATGTTGTTTTGAATCATTAAATCCTATACAGATGGCATTTACTTGTCTCAGAGAAAGCTTTTACTGGAACAACATTGCTCCCCTGACAGAAACAGCCTGTTCAAATGCGAACCTACCAAAGATTTTAGGTAACTGTAAAGGGGAACACACTTTTCTTCTTGAGACAGTGGCTGAGGTATGCCAGCATAAATTGGTTTAAAAAATATTGTATCTGTATTGCTGAAGGCTTTCATGGTTGGAATCACTAGGTTCTTGTGGTTTTTTTCGGGCTATAGAGCCATGTTCTAGAGGCATTTCTCCTGACGTTTTGCCTGCATCTATGGCAAGCATCCTGAGTAGATTTGGTTCCTCTCTGCTGTTTTGCTGTAGTAATTTTAGAGTTTGTTTTAATACTGGTAGCCAGATTTTGTTCATTTTCGGGGTTTCCTCCTTCCAATGCGGAAGTGCTTCATCAGTCGCAGATGGACGATGAAAGCGACAGCTCCCCTGGCGGCCAGAAAAAGTTAAATAGCCTCTGTGTATGTCTTTATGCATTGTACGTCAAAATTGGCATTGAATGTTTGCCATATATGTGTACACTGTAATCCGCCCTGAGTCCCCTGCGGGGTGAGAAGGGCGGAATATAAATGCTGTAAATAACAAATAAGTTTAACTATGCGGATCTTCCTTGCCTGATGACTTTGCTGCTGCTTTTAATGATTGCATTCTTATGACTTGACTCACATACATAATTTTTAAACTAGCCTCCATCCCTGACAAAGGGAAGAAATAAGATATAGCGATTAGCAAATGAATCCAGAACTGAAATAAATTCTAAAAGCAAGTAAATATGCAAGCAAAAGTGAAATAATTGCAACTTGAAAACCTCAGAGGACTTACATTTTGCTGACAGATTATATCCTCCAAGTGGTGCAGGATGACCTTCAACTGCATCAAAGCCTGATGATACCAGCACAACATCTGGAGCAAACTCATTAGCAATAGGCATTACTACTGTTCTGCAACAAAAATAACAGTGAACACATTACTATGTTTTCTCCTTGAATTTATGGTGATCTGTTTTTAAGAGATCAATCAGATATTATTTTGCCCGATGCCACTTCTAGCAAAAAATGTGAAACAAATCAAGGGAAGGAAAGATTAGACCAGATGTGATCAAAAGGACTATGTCACACAGCGCAAAGGAACGTCTTTGAGTTATTTGAACTTCTTCAGTCTTTTCAACTTTGCCATTAGCATTCATGACCACAGTAGATTGCCCTCCAGGTTTATTTATTTCCGGTATTTCTATCCCGTCTCTTCTCTACCCCTGAAGTTGGACTCAGGATGGCGTACATTGGCAGCGATTCGATATAAACAATTAAATATAGTAACCATTAAATACAAAAAACCATTAAACCATTAAAACACATAAACCATTAATTAAAAACAGTACCTAAAACATTAATTGAACAATAAAACCATTTATGAGTAGTTGCACAAAATATTATATTTTAAACAGCTCTATCCCT